CCCCCCCAAAAAATTATTTTTCAGCACTAGTTAAATGCTCTGCTTACAGTGAGAGGCTTGTTGACTGTGAATGAATGAAAGATCCATGTTAACATTGGTGGTTCAAGTCCCAGAAAGGCAAACATATTGTTGGGTTGAGAAATTGTGACAACTATTACTTAGAAAAATAGGTTTGGGAATAATTAGTACATATACTCAAAGGCCATAAATCATAGATTAGTAGACTATTCGAACTGGAAAGGACCTAAAAAATCAACTGGTTCAACCCCCTCACTTTTGCAGATGAGGAAACTGATGCACTGAATGATATGTCCTGGCCGAGTTCCCAGACCTAGTGAGTGATTGGAGGAGCCACTTCTTTCTTAAAGGTGGTCATGGAATGCACAGAGTGTTAGACCAGGAAGGATCTTAGTGAGCATCTAGTCCAACCCTATCTTGTACAAGTATGGGAACTGGGGCCCAGAAAGGCTGAGCAACTCTCTCAGAGTCACAAAGCTTATACTTAGCCCTGCTTGTCCAATTCAAATTTATTCAAAAAGTATTTATTAGTGCCTAGCATGCACAAGGTACCGGCTTGTTGTTTAGTCATTTCAGTTGTGTGTGGTTCTTTGTGACCTCATTTGGGGTTTTCTTGGCCAAGATACTAGAGTGGTTTGCCATGTCCTTCTCCAGCTCATTTTACAGATGAGGAAACTGAGGCAAACAGGGTTAAATGACTTACCCAGGGTCACACAGTTAGCATCTGAGGCAGGATTTGAATTCGTGAACATGAGTCTTCCTGATTCCAGGCCTGGTGCTCTATCCACTGTACCACCTAGCTGCCCTACTGTGTTAGGTGATGGGGATCCAAAAGCAAAGAAGTGAAAAATTGTCTCCGTCCTTAGGGAGTTTACATTTTACCATACGTGTACAGCAGGCTTTTTGGTTCTAAATCTAGTAGTGTTCTTTTCACAAGGCCGTCCTGTTTCTCTTAGAATATGATTTCTGGTAAGGACCTTGTATCCCCAGTACTTAGTATAGTGCTTGGCACACAGTAGGTACTTAATAAATATTTATTGACTGGCAAGAAAGTAAACTCACTTATAGTTTTTGTGTCTGATTTGTAGGCATGCTTGTGGCAGAAGCATTTGAACATACACCCGGAATCCAAACAGCAAGTCTGAGAACATATATCAAGACCAATCTGTTTCTGTTTCTTTTTGCCCTTGGCTTTTACCTAGTTCTCAAACTTCTTGATATTGATCTTCTGTGGTCTGTCCCCAAAGCCAAGAAATGGTGTGCCAATCCAGACTGGATCCACATTGACACAACTCCATTTGCTGGCCTGGTGAGAAACCTGGGAGTTCTCTTTGGATTGGGTTTTGCAATCAACTCTGAAATGTTCTTTCTGAGCTGTCGAGGAAAGGATAGTTATAAGCTGAGTTTCAAATTGCTTTGCATGATGACTTCACTGACCCTCCTGCAGCTGTACAACTTTGTTAAGATCCCAACCCATGCTGAGTATTTGTTTTACGTGTTATCTTTCTGTAAAAGTGCATCCATTCCACTGGCTGTGGTTGCTGTGATTCCTTACTGCATACATGTATTAATGAGGCCAAGGGAAAAGAAGATTGATTAGATATACTGGGGTAAGGGGGAAGAGTTATGTCCCTTCTCACAGGACAAATTCCCTTGACCCTCCAGTAGAATCACAGTTATAGACTTGAGTGATCAACTGTCTAGTCTTATTTTACAGATGAGGAAACCAAGGCCTAAAGAGGTTAAGTCAAGGTCATATAGCTAGTCAGAGGCAAAGCCAGGGCTAGAAGCCAGGTGTCCCAACTCCTAGTCTGAGGATCTACTCATGACTCCATGTTTTGGTGCCTTTTGTTCTTTCAAAATGGAGGGGAATACTTCAATACTTTCCTTTGAAGACATTTTGACAGTACTTAAATCAATTACATCTTAAGTGAACTTAAAGTGTTGAATCCGGATTGATCTATACATTGGCATTATTCTGAACAGGTTAATCACCCTGCAAGACACTTATATAATACACCAACACATATGCAAACATTTTTGGGGAAAGGAAAAGCATGATGGGTAGGTGTCTCAGTTTGCATCTCTTTTCAATGGTACATGTCATGGTTCTGCAGAGTGGTAGACACTTTCACAATAAATATGAAATAAATATGAAATTATTAAATATGAATATACTAAATATGAAATCAACTTTTACTCTTTTGGAAAGTGTTACAAAAAAAGGCTTCCTCTTTCCTTAGGTTGTTGAAGTCCTTTATCATAGAATTATTACCTACAAGCCCTTGGGAGCTGGATAGAAATTCAGTATTACTTCTTATCTCATTCTAACAAAAAACAAGTGAATTGTCTTCTTCAAGGTTTCATCCCAGCTCAGTGGAACCAATGATAATCCTAGCTCTTAGCTGCATTAATCTTTGTTTATTCTGCACAATGATCAAAATCTAAATACTTTAAAACCGATCATTATAGATATTGTTGTATGTTCTCCTGAGAATATCCCAATATGGTTTGGGTTGCTTTTTTTTTTTAATGGACCCAGACAGTCAATACTTCTGAACGCTGAGATGATTAACTATTTTGTCTCCATCCAGTTCATCCTGTTCAGAGTTACCTCTGATGTATAAAAATGCCACATGCTGCTCATTTTAATGACCTAATTAATGAATTCTTTAAAATAATGACATATTAAATTAATCATAAATATTTTTAATGGTAGCATTTTGGATAGATGTTATGTTATTTAAAAAAAATCACTGTGGAATATTGAAGATGACAAGTTAAGGTTACTGCTAGCTCTCCTGCAAGTGTATTTCATATGCCAATGCCTTTCAAGGACCCATTTAATATTTCACTTTTCAAAGATAGCAAAGTCTGGGTGGCTAACAACCAAAGCAAGATGCTAGAGGTAAGGAAAAGGGCCTCTGAAAAAGGGATTGTAGATTTCCATCTGAAAGGGCACTTAGAAATCATATCTGTATATGGATATGGATATATATACATGTATATACATATATGTATATATGTGTATGAACATGCACATGTATGTGTATGTATATATGTGTGTGTATATATATACATATATGTACACACACATACACACACACACACACACACACACATATATATGTGTATATATATATATATGTATGTATTCCAACTTACTCATTTTTCAAATAAGGAAACTAAGGCCCAGAGAGAACTGACTTCCTCAGGGTCACACAAGTAGTAAGTGGAAGAGACAGGATCCTAGCACAGATCCTCAAATTTCAAGTCCAGCATGATTCTTTTTGTACCATGACGTTTTTGTTTTGGGGTCATTTTCTGTAGAAATTGTCTAAGAAGTCCAATTGCTGTGGTGATTGCTAGCTAGCTTGCTAGCTGTCTCTCTCTCAGTGCTGTATATATGTGAAGTCATTTTCAACCATTTAATATACGGAAAGATCACCTTTGGCATCCAATCCTGTAGAGGTAATTTACATTTAGGACTGTGCCTGAGTAAAGGAAGCTTGGGTAGTTAATGGTACTTTTTTAGCATTTAATTTGTAGCCTGAAGAGTTCCTAAATGAAGTCAGAGATAAACTGAGTCACCAGGTTCAGAAGAGGTGCTGATCTTCTCTGCATCTGCAGCCACAGGGTCAGCCCTGGTCACTCATAAGTTCTTCTCCCAGTTTCTTTCACCTTGAATGCTATTTTTCAGGACGAACAACATTAAAGAGGCCATAACTGATAGCTTACTTTCTACATCAAGTTACAGGATCACAGGGTCACGTAGTCTCACTGACGTAGACCTAGAAGGAACTTCAGAATCCTTTTTGTTCAGTCCTCTTATTTTATAGCCCGAGGAGGTTAAGAGACTCACTTCTACAAGGTTACACAGGTAATAAATGTCAGAGGTGGGAGATCCTCTGTCTCCAGAGTTAATACTCTGCCCCTATATGATGTGGCTGTCTATTGAATCCTTAACAGCTCCATCTCCTGGCCACAGCTTTAGTCCCCCAGATGGTTGTCACTGTTTGATACAGTTGGTACTGCCTGGAGTGACTCAGATCATGACAAACTTTCTCTGCTACTGAAACTGACTAGGCACCTGAGTAACTGCTCTTTACAGCCCTGGAGAAAACTTCTGTTTTCAAGGATGATGGAAAAGACTCAGCTCATTCCAATTTAGCTGTCAGAGGTAAGCTGAATTTAGCTAACTTGCCTTACCTCTAACTTAAATATAAATATTCAAAATGTACCTCTATTCAGACAAAGAATGTCAAAGTGATAAGCCTTCAGGAGAAGAAAACCTAAGCAAGTTACATGAGAATCTATCCAATTAATCATAAATCTTTAAAATAAACACAAAGGAAGCTGCTAATGCTGAAGCAAGGAGAATGGAGACGCTTCCTTTTGAGGGACAGGTTGGTTCAGAAGTCTCACTTAAACAGTGTTGATTAAGCAGGAGTCCTCTTGACACATCAAAACACAAAAACAGTGCTATTTACCAGCTGTCCAATGAAGTACTGCATAATTGGAGTTCTGGTAGTGCCTTAAATTAGCTACACAGGTTAATTTTTGTGAAATGACAGCAGCCGGTTCTTTAATCTGTTTCTAAGAGTCACAACCCAGTTTTTGCTCTAAGGCCTTGACATATGAATTAAAATATATAATGATAAAAATATTTACTATACTGAGATACAAGTACACCCTGAGCTTTATGATTAAATGAGATCATATATGTAAAGAATTTTGTAAACCTTAAAATACTATATAAACATTGATGATGATGATGATGATGATGATGATAATGTCATACATTTCCTTGAAAGAAACTCAAAGTATATTGATAGATTCTCCCTCATCTCTTTGCCCTTTCCATGTGAGCTAGATAGGGGGCAGCATCTTTTTTTTTTTTCACAGACAGAAAGCCTGAGGCAAACATTTACCCCAAATGAGTGAGCAGCAGAGCTGAAGGCAGGACCTGGGTCCCCTTACCACCTGGCTCAGTTCTTTTTATTTCCAGAGCTTGAAGTGCCATTTTTACAGATGGATTATCTGAGACCATCTTGGTGCTGAAAATGATAGTTACTCTTGACGAAGTACATCCCATCCAGAAGAGATACTTAAGCTGTCGAGGGATACTTACACATGCCATTTACTTAGGTGGTAGCTGTCATTAGTGGTTTCTTGTGCTAGAAATATGAGAGTGATTGCAGAAAATTGCTGATTGAAAATGTATAAAATCATTACAGCTTCAAGAAGGTTCTGTCAGGCTCAAACATCACAAGATTAAATTCTAAGAACTGAGAGACCTAAGTTTCTGCTCTGTCACATGAAATTGCAGTTTATGTCAGATTAGGGAAAGGCTCGGTCAAAGATAGGGACTAATTACTGTACTTGTCTTTGCTACATATGATGGTGATCCCAGTTGTGACTTTTGGTAATGCATAAGAGACTGGTCTAAAAGGGCAGAAACAAACAGACAACTATAGTTCTGGAGGTTCATTCAAGAGCCTAGGAATTACTTTCTATTCTGAAAGGGGACTTCCTGAACTTTTTACTGAAACTGGACTATTTGAGTCTTTCACACAGGATATCTGAGATGAAAGGGCAGCTTTTCGTTGGCTCAAAATATGTCATTTTTTCTCCATTAAAAGCTTGAACACTATATCCTAAAACATGCCATTGAGAAGAGAGCAAAGCATGAATGGCAGAGTCACTATGCCTCAGGGTATGGCAACTCTGGGGCTGTTTGTGAAGATGTGGAGAAGATGCCCAGAGCATGGGCTTGCCAAGGGGAGCATCGATTTTGGCTGTACACCCTACCCATTTACATTGTTGGCTGATGGGAGAGAGGAAGTGATTTGCATGCTACAAACATTCTGCTACTGGCTCTACCAAGCATACATACAAGTGGAGAGTGGATCACACAAAATAATCAAGATTGGTAGTTATTAGCACCTATGATAGAAATGCAAACATTTACCACCCTTCAAGAATGGAGTCAACCTTCTGTTCATGCCTGTGGATGTTTGTGTACAAAGAATCAACATTTTCTCAAATCCAGACTTTACTTTAAACTTCCATAGTCTCTTAACACCTACATGACCAATACTATAGTCCTTCTAGTAACTCACAGACCTTTAAAGAAAGCTCACTCCCCTCTGCATACATTTGACTTCCTTTCACACCTGTTGCCTCCAACGTTTCTCCAATAGGAACAATTTTTGCTCCTTTGATCTTTCCCTCCATCTACAATTCTATTATTCCATCTTCTTGCAAATCAGGAAACACTGGCAGGATGAACAATGTTTTTGTGTTCTGATCATATTGTAAATCTTATTTAATTTCTACTAAGCTTTCCTTTTTGAAAGAAGGGTTATTGCAGTGTCATAGTCTAAACTCATTAGGACCACTGATTAGCCACTCACCCCAGCCAGGAAGGCCTGTCTAAATTAAATAACATTTTCAAAGCAGCTTTGTTATTTTCTTTTGTCTCCTGTAATTCAAACTATGTTAACAAAATTAATTAATTCATTCAAAACATTGCCTTAGGCAAGGGCTTTAAAATAGAAATATTAATTTGTAATTTGTGTAAGAATTGTATGTAAATAATGTTTTTGAAAGCATTTTATTGTATATACATCCTTTTCTTAAATATTTTAACTATCCCCCCACCCAACTCCCAATCTTTCTCTGTTATCAGAGCTTAAACTAGGTCAGGGAACTGGATCTTTGACTCAACTCAGGGCATCTGTATTTAGAGAACACAGACAGCATTCACACCCCTTAACAGCTAGAAACAACTGAACTTAGCACTTAGGAAGAATAATCGGATAAAGTATGAAACTGCATCCTCTTTCTGAAGCTTCTTCTCAATCTAGTCTTCTCTCTTCCCCACAGAAGATTCTTGAAGTTTCAGAGTCTCCCCCCACCAATTAACTTATTTTTAAAAAGTTGATTTTAGAGCAAATTCATGATACTTGCCATGGACTTCTTTTGTGAAGCTTGTCCTGAACACTAAACTTGTTAGTTAGCTCTGATAACTATTTATCTGGACTGCTAAGCCTTATCTTGCCTCAGACACTATAAATTCCAAATCTGTGAACTCCAATTTAATGAGACAAAATTGCATGCCATTATGATATGCCTTGCCTTATTAGCAGGTGCTGTGGTCCTGAGGATGGTGCAGTGTTGGTCACATAGATCCTAAAGTGTATTATCCAATGTTGATGGCTTTGAGAGAATCAGCCACTTCAGGCAATTTGAAGTGCACACATACACACTCACCCATCCCTCCACATACACACACACTCCCATCCCCCCTCCACACACAAAGGGTGTGCTTTAAGCTGTTGCTTAAAACTACAGAAAGACTTTTGAGACATGCTGTATAATGAGGCAGTTATAACAGGAAACCTGGCCCACAGCCCAGAGAGAAGTCAGGGCAAACCTCAAGAGAACCAGGCAGAGAATTAATTTTACAAATGAGGAAGGGCTTGGAATGAAGAAGACTCATCTTAATGAGTTTAAATCCAGCTGCAGACATATACTAGCTCTGTGACCCTGGGCAAGTCACTTAACCCCATTTGCCTCAGTTTCTTCATCTGTAAAATGAGCTGGAGAAGGAAATGGCAAACCACTTCTGTATTTTTGCCAATAAAATGACAAATGGGGTCATGAAGAGTTGCACATAACTGAAATGACACAATTGCAACCACTAAAGGTACTTGAGGCCTCGTAAGGCTAAGCTGCCTATGGCACATAGATAGTAAACATCAGAAATGGGATCTGAACCCAGTTCTTCTCATTCAGTCATTAAACATTTCTTAAGTGCCAACTATATGCCAGGCACTGTGCTAAGTGTTGGGAATAAAATAAAGGCAAAAGACAGTCCCCGTTCTCAGGGTATACACAGTGTAGTGGGGAAGACAACGTGCAAATAACTTGATATGAATTGGAGGTAATCAACTGAGGAAAGGCTGGTGCTCTTACAACCATACTACTGTCTCATACTGCATCCATCTGCTCATTGTCTCTATTGCTCCCCATTAAACACATCCCCTTTCTTCTGACAGTTTCTGTTCTGCCTGATTTTTGCAGGAGCTAAGGAGAGGTACCCCTTAGATTGTTCTAAGAAGAAGCAGTAGATGGTACTGGGGAGAACTATAGATACTCAATGAAAAATTTTAGGTTAAATAGGAAGTTGTAGAACAGAGGATTTTGACTTATTTTTGTGCAATGAAAAATTTTCAGTTTAAATAGGAAGTTGTAGGACAGGATTTTAATCTATTTTTGTGCAATGCATCCCTTTGGCAGTTTGGTGAAGTGTATGGAGCCCTTCTCACAATGAGATTTTTAAATACATAAAATAAAATACATAGGCCTACAAAGGAGATGAATACGATTGAAATATACTTATCCAATTTTTTTTTTAATTTCAAAAATGAGGTTAAGAACCCCATGTTTTAGCACCATGTGTTTTTTGCTTTCATACCCAGGTCATGGTTAAGAAACCATTTAGGAATGGCTCCTGCAACTCCCATTTCCCTCACAGCTTTTTCCCATATTTTTAAAGCTTAAAGAATACAATTTAGAGTTTGGGGGCTACTTTCAAAGTTGTTAGTTATTATTACTATTCCCCTGACAAGACCATGCATATTTAAAAAGAATACTCTATTAAAAACTACTGCCTTAATAAATTATTTGGGACTTACAGGAGCTCCCACAGAGCCTACAACTTATAAACCTTATGCATTGATCTTTGAAACATATTACAACACTTTGTAAATGCATTTTACAGCTAGAAAAATTGCTGAATGGAGATGCTAAGAGAGTTTACTTTAGACATTCTAGTTCCAAAATGACTATTAAAAAAATCTACCTTATATCATCCTACGATATATGATGTCCTAGTGGTTGTCACCACTTTTCCTTTTATAGTTTTTCATCTTTACCATTTAGCTAGTCCTAGACACAGCTGCTAAGGAAGGCAGGCTCAGATGGTTATAGATTTGGAGCTGGAGGGGAACTCAGAAGCCATTTGGTCCAATCCTTTCCTTTTATGGGCAATATAGGTAGTTGAGGCGCCATGAGGTTAAGTGACTGACCCAAGGTACCTAGGTAGATGCATGGAAGTAGGATATGAAATCAGTTCCTCTCACTGCAGAACCAGCGCTCTTTCTACTAGACCACAAAGTGGTCCTAAGTGAACTTACCCTTGTCACTATGTATAACTTTTCAACTCCTACTTAGTTCATTTTCTGTTCTGTCTCAATGAACTCTGGCCATGCTCCTGTTAAAGCTCAGTCAATAGAATCCTGGCCTTTCTTCTTCAACTTTATAATGATAAAGTAAGCACAGAGACATATCCAGTAGCATATTAAAGGGGCCACACCTTTAAAGGGAGCTATGCATGATACTCAGGAAAGCCCCCAAGATGGATTTAAATTGCAAATGATATCATATTCACATTTTGTGATCTTTGAGAAGAAGGAGAAGGAAGAAGAGCAGGAGGAGGAGAAGGAGAAGGAGAAAGAGAAGAACAAGAAGGAGATGAGGAAGAGGAGGAGGAGGAAGAAAAGAAGATTATACTCAATGATATTTCCCCAAAGATGTGAAGATTATATCTGAAGGTCAGGGAAGCATCATGTAGATAAAGCTGCACTATTGAATCATTCCTTTTATTCTCCTGTTTCAGGGCTGTCATTAATAATGGCTAAATAGGCTTCTAATTTCTGCAAATATGGCCCATAATCAAATTCTTATCTCAATACCTCCACCCTTTGCCTGCTAAAATTTCACATTTAAATGAAAATTTGATTTTTCAGCTTCCATGACATTTCATAAAAGAGCTCTGTCCATCTATCCTTTTCATTTTGTGCCCAATAAATTTTTATTATTAGTCAACAGGGCAGCATTGAATTGTTGTTGTTGTTATTTTAACCCTATCATCTTTCCAAATAATTGCATGTTTATACTACAGAGCCTTGGGGATGCCTTCCTTTGGGTGTCTAGTTATTCTGGCTTTTCTGTCTGTGCCAGAGAAGTGAGCTGCTTCTGAATTTTAGTGTCTCCTTCAGGAAGGAGGAAGCTGTTAACTGCAAATCTACCAGCTGGACTGACTTTTCAGGTTTTTTTCATTCGTTGTTCAGATTGTCCTAGGTCTGATTTATTGGGTTGCATGGTGTATTTGGAATGTTACAGAGCTATTATATATACCGTCTGATTACTAATTATGGACCTTAGGAGTCTACAACTTACTAATGAGCATATTACTATGCTATGCTGGCCAGTGCTAATTAGAGGATGATCATGTGCATTGCCTTATTTACATTCCATTCACTTAGATTAATTGGGCATTTAATTGAGGACAATGTGAAAGAAATTTGAATTGTGGTTAGAGGATGGTTTAAGGTACTGTCCTTAAGTATCTAGGCCAGGCGTGGGGAACTTGTGGCCTTGAGGCCACACGTGGCCCTCTAGGTCCTCAGGCGTGGTCCTTTGATTCAATCCAAGCTTCACAGAACTAATGGGGATTTGATAGGAATTTGTTATGAAAATGTCTTTATCTATCAATATTTTGTGCCCTTTGCTCATATGTCTCTAGCTTAAATTGTTTTCTTGTCTCTTCTCTCTTTTCCTGTCTTGGTTGGCTGGGGTGAGGTTATAAGGGTACATTATAATATGATATTATTCTACAATATGACATTATCATATTATATGATATATATTATATAATAATATGCATTATATAATAATGTAGCATATCATGTTTATATATTATGTATTACACATATCTATTACCATTTTGTACAAAGATTAGTTTCAATGTTGTCTATATGTCCTTTGTAAACCAATTAAAATTTTAATGAAAAGAATTCTGATTCTATGTACTTCATTCTTTTACTATAAAGAATCAAAAGAAGCAAAGGACCAAAATTATGAGGTGATGTAATAATACTCTCAATTTTAAAGTCAAAGCAGTATTATTTTTCTTTTCCATATTTTCAACTTTTACTAAAAATTTCCGTGTATCACATGCATACTGCATTAAATAAGATTAAAAAAATAAGATCCAAAGGTTAACTTCTCTATTTAACTTGTAAACCGTTGTGGTTTTGGCTTCTGGATGGCTGGAATATGAATGCTAGTATAATTTTGCTATTTAGATACAATTTTCAGCTGAGCTGAATGATGGGCGACATTGAAGCATAACAGATTAGTGGGAATTCCTGTGTATCTTCCCAAGGCTGCTTTGATGGGCAGCCTTCATTTGGAAGGAATAAAAGGATAGGGGCAAGAGAAGATTCAGGCTGTCAAGGGCGAGCTTGAGATGTTGGGGGTGGGGTGGGCAGAGGAAGCCATCATCTAAACATGAGAAAGGAACCTCCTTTTATGTTCTTTGCATCCTAAGAGGCACTTTAGCGTAGCAGATTGAGTTTGGCAACAGAAAGATCTGGGTTTGAATCCTGTCTCAGGTATTTGCTAGTTGTATAATCTTGGTCAAATCACTTTTTAGTCTCTGGGCCTCAGTCCCCATCCCCCACTCCCATAAAATATGGATAATTGTAATAATAGTTATTATTATCACAAAGTTGTTATGAGTGGCAAATATATTTAAAATGCAATATAAATGTGAGCTATTATTATCTTGAAGTAAGGTATTGTTCTTTTACTGGCCTTTCATAGGGAGCAGTTTAGTGCTAAAAGGGGCAAAGGTATAGAAAAGGCTTTAAATTAACCAATAAAGGGTGTAAGGTACTGCCACTCTTATAGACGAAAATTTTATTGTTTGAAAGTAGAAAAATAACTTTAATTTAGTAAGAATTGCTAAAATATGTATATGAAGAAATAGTTTTCAAATGGGATTTGAAGAGTTTAGAACTAAAAATGAATTATGGCATAAACATAGACAAATCATCTTATAAAAATTGTAGGAAGATTTCATCATTTGTATGCGAACATTTGGATAGTTTAGAGGGAACAGAGAAAGATTTTTTTAAAACTTAAAAACTTAGTATGAAGAAAATTTCAAGGACAGAAAATGAAATAATGGATTATGTTAAGAACTTAGATATACATGGCATTATGGTTCTTTAGTTCACTTTATATAATGTATTTTCAACTCTTAACATAATGAGAAATCTTGAGATTGATGGATTTTTTTTAAAAAAGAATGCTGATTTCTTGGGGAAAATTTGTGAGTTGCTATTTTTTAAGTGAAAGATGAGTCACTGAGAACCAGGAAACTAATTTAAACTATTGAGAGATATTGGAGGTACAGGCTGAGGCTCTCAAAATTGAAGAAATAGCAGGAGGGTAAAAAAAAAAACAGCTGTTGCCACAGTTGTTTGAAGAGACCACCAGCAGCAGTAGTCAGTTGACAGTCTTCAGCTATGTGATTCCTGATTGGCTGAAGACAAATTTAATCTCATTACACAAGAGTTTCAGTCCCAAATACTGCTCTTCAGGACCACCAAGAGCTTAAGAAACTCTTTAGTAGTGCCAGTAGCTCTTTGCTGACCCCTTCTGGCTTGATAAGAAAAAACCAAAATAGGAAAGACAGGTACTGCTGCTGATGTGTTATTTAAGAACTGGCTAGGCTGGTTTGTCTTGTTCAGCTGTTTTCTATAAGCTCCATTCTGATTTAACAACATAGCAATCTGGGAAGCACTGGCCAGGTTGGCCTGTAGCACCCAGAGATAACAAGCTTGATGAACTTTGCATTCTCTTACTTAAAAGGAACTGCAATTCAAATTAAGAGGCAATATTTTCTAAAAGCTAGGATGCTTCTAAACTGAACAAGTTTGTGAATGCTACATTATTTTGCATGCACAAAAGAGGAAGATTTGCCCTGCTATAGAGCAGTGAGGACCAGCAGGCAAGTAGCTAGCAGAGAAAAGGTTTCACAGTATGTAGATATTCCGGAATGGAACAGTCCACTCTTATATAGGCTGCCCTGAATACACTGTTTTTCCTCCCTCATGTCTTAGCTTGCCAGATTCTTTGTAATTGTGTACCCACTTTCCTCATAGTTATCAAGTGCATTAGTTTATGTGCGGATTGTGGTGTATTTTTATTATTATATATTAGCTTTAACGTATGAATATCTGTGATATTATTAATTTTTTGGCTAAGTAAATAATTTTATTTAAGATCTAAAGTCTCATTGTGAGTGGCTGGTTTGTGTAAGTAGAAATACATTGGTGGATGCTCAATGGCTAAAAGGAGGGAGAAGGGGAATGTATTTCCCATCAACTGAGTTACCCCTAGAACTTTGAGAGAATTTGAGTATAACTATTCTCTGGGAACCTAGACCAGCCAGTATGAGAAAAGGTTGGGGAGAATGAGCCAACCCAAAGAGTTTATGTGTCCACATGCCCTCATGAGAGGTGTGAAGATGCCTACATGTGGATATAGATTCTATGTCCACAGTCCCTTATATTTTGGGAGTTTATGCAGAATTTTACCCTACCCACTTACATTGACATGGAAGGAGAGACTCAAGGGCCCATTTGTCAGTCTAATCAGGGTAACTCACCTAGAGAAGTTACAGGTCAATTCCAGAAATATCCCATGTAGCTCAGGAACATAGTATAGTCAGCTTTTTTAAAAAAAAATTGATTTATTTTTAGTTTTCAACCTTCACTTCCGTAAGATTTTGAGTTTTAAATTTTCTCCCCCTCCTTTGCCTCTTTTCCAAGAAGACATGCAATCTGACATAGGCTCTACCTATACATTAATTTTAAATATATTTTCACATTAGACATATTGTAAAGAAGAATTAGAACCAATGGGAGGAACCATGAGAAAGAAGAAACAAAACTACAACAAAAAAGAGAATATAGTATGCTTTCATCTGCATTCAGACTCTAAAGTTCTTTCTCTGAATGTGGGTAGCATTTTCCATCATGAGTCTTTTGGAGGTGTCTTAGATCCTTGTGTTGCTGAGAAGAGCTAAGTCTATCAAAGTTAGTCATTGTACAATGTGGCTGTTACTATATACAATGTTCTCCTGGTTCTGCTCACTTCACTCTCACCTTTTGTTTCTTATTGTCTCTACAAGCCACCCAACTGCCACCCTCAAGGTCAGATGGAAGGCAGGAGGCAAAATCTGGCCTTAGAATGAATTAACCATAGGCAGAAGAGAGAAAGATGTCCATTTCCAAGCTAGCCTCTACCTAAGGCAAAAAAAAAGTAAATTTTCCCCTCCTCCCCCCATTGATTCCATTACTAATTAGAAAATATTTAGTTTAAATCAATACATAGAAATGTCTTCTTTTATGAAAGGTCAGTTCCTCTTTATCCAACCAAAAATGTTTTTCTCCCTCAGTTTTATGATTTAATAAAATTATTCTCTAAATACTTGGTACCACAGAAGCTAGTAATACTGCTGGTTAAATGAAGACAGCCCTTTAAATATAAATGCATCAGGAAGGCAGTGTGAATGAAACTGATGATAAAGCATGAATATATTCCTTTAAAAGCCATCATTATCCCAAGCTCATTGACAATTGCGGTTAGCCTTTTTAAAAGTAAAAAAAGGCAAAAGGTTAATTGAGTCAAGGGAGGTTAATCAAATCATATTCCATAGATGGAGAATACTTAGGAAATAAAGCAAGATCTTCTTTTTTAAGGAGTGATAGGTATACCTGGACATATCATAACTTAATGCTGTTTTTAGGACCCCTTTGACACTGGAGTTAGTAACATTTTCTCAAGGCACAGGAAATACTCAAATGTTTGAATCAATCATAAGACCTCCTTAGGTAGGATAGAACTTCTCAGTGTGTTACCTTTGTGCATATACACTTGTGGAAGGGTCTGAAATTTGTCTTTGTTCTACCAGTAGTGGCAGGACAAGCTTAAACCATGAGGAAGTGGGAAACAGAATTGATTAGAGGAAAGAATTTCAATTGCCTCCATACAAGCAGACAACTCTTGAGTCAGCTTCCAACAGAACAGGGAGATGAAAAATCCCCTTAAAAGGACTGAGGTTCTAAGAGGCAGTCAGTCAATAAACATTTATTGAACTCCTACTTTGGTCAGGCTCACTGGGGATACAAAAGGAGGCAAAAGACAATCCCTGCCCTGAAAGGAATTCAGAATTTAATGGGGGAGACAAGTAAACAAATACAAACAAGCTATATGCAAGCAAAATAGGAAATAATTTTAAAAGGGAAGGCACTAGAATTAAGAGGGGTTGTAGAAGATGGGATTTTAGTTGGGATTTAAAGGAAGCCAGGGAAGCCAGTAGGCAGAGATGAGGAAGGAGAGCATTTTAAGCATGGGGGACAACCAGAGAAAATGCCTGGAGCCAAGAGATAGAGTGTCTGGTTTAAGGAATAGTAAGGAGGCCATTGTCACTAGATGGAAGAGTACTTGGTGGGGAGTAAGGTGTATGAAGACTGACAAGGTGTGTATTGGGGGCGGGGACTAAGTTATGAAGGACTTTGAATAATAAATAGAGGATTTTATATTTGATCTTGGAGGCCATAGGGAACCATTGAAGTTTATTGAGTGGGGGAAGGGAGGTGACATGATCAGATCTGTGGTTTAGGAAAATCACTTTGGTCACTGGAAGATGGTCACCTCCAAGGGTGAGGTGATGAGGGTTGGTATTTTCTAAGGATCAAGAGTAGAATCTACAAATTCTTCTGTAGCATAGATTCATGCAATGGCTAGGTTTCATTTTATATTGGTCTAACTGGGAAGATCTACCAAATGTCAGGCAATTCAATGAACCTAGCTATAGAACAGTAAGTTAGTTACTCACTGAAGTTCCATGCCATTGTAATGCCAGCTAGTTCATAATTAACTCTCCAAGGGGTTAATTTGTATTCGAGTGTCTTGGTAGTTGGTATACTTACCAAAATGTCCCACTAATATACTCCTAAAGAGTAGTTTGCATGTTGGAGGATTGTATTTAGATTATACTTATACCACATTAAATTTTTCTTTGAAAATTTGTAAGATTCACTAGAAGCAACTGAATCTAGTATACCTAATGTGCAATAATTTTAGCAATGCTAACAATGGTCAATATAATACATATGATCACTTTTAGTCCCTAAGTTACTTGCAATGTTGCTTTTACCATGAGTTCTTTTCAGATCACAACTGATGCTGTAATCTTTAGCTTTCCTAAGTGTGGCAAGCAGCATTTTCTTTACATTGCAGCCAGTGACTGAGGACACATTTTAACATTACAGAACCACTCAAATCATGGAGACTCGGGACTCATCTAATGCATCTGGGTTTGCATATCCTAGCAGCCAAGTATAAGAGATGACTTTTCTGATTTCCACTGTCTCTTAGTCAGTGATATTACGTGATAACCAATTATGGAACAGCACAATCTCAAATGAAGCAAAATTCCTAATACAGGACAATGTCTTCCTTAAGGCATTTGTGAGTAAGTAGGCTATGACATGTTACCAATGGTGGATATGAATACAAGAAGTGTCTTAAAATATGTATTCAAGAGCATAAAATGACTAGAAAAAGAGATGGGTCAGTTATGGAACAAGAATAAGAAACAAAAGATAGAGACCCTGAGCTGGACAATAGTATTAAAATAACCAGAAGGTGTGCTGTGTGTTGGGTGTACACTCTGTGGAAGATTTATAGAAACAAATGGACAATCATCGTAAGAATAAAAAGGCAAAGAGGGGTTGTGATTCAGTTCAATCTGATATGCATTTATTAAGTCCCTACCCTGTGCTAGTGATGGTTCTAGGCATTGAACATACAAAGACAAAAACAAGGCATTTTCTGCCCTCAAGTGACTTATTTTCTACTCACTGGAAGGAGCAATTACATCTATGAAATCACAAATCCAACTAAGTTTTATCTTGTGAAGGCCGAAAGGTTAATGTACGGGCTGGGGTAGTTGCTTTTTTTGAAAAATGAATCTGCATTTTAAAAAAGGGAGTTATCATCTACTTAAGATTGAGATTGAATAGAAAGAAAGATCAATATTTCAAGGACAGTTTCAGGTACAAAAGCATCTCAGGTAGAGAAAGGGCTATAGCCAAGGTGAAGGGTCTTCCAGAATCTGAACCATGAAATGTTGACTTCACCTTTCTTCTCCAGTGATGATATCTCAGCTTCTTGGGACTAGAATGTCAGCTAACTCTGGAACTCCTTCCCTGCTCTTCTTCTTCTTACCCTCCTTTCCTATCCCCAGTCCATATTTCATGGTATATGGAGAGTAAAAAGCACCAAAAGCATTATTGCCCTACCTTTACAGAGCATGAGAGAAACTGCCCTGATTATGAGAAAACATTGAGCATAATGGAATTGGCTAATTACTCTTATTCCTAAAGCATCTTTCACAGTAGCTGTCCAGCTGTACTTCAAAGGAATTGTGGTAAGGACTCTGTAAGTGTTATACAATGGCTCTTCTTTTGGACTCTATGGTGTGTTTGCTTCCATGTTCTTCTCACAGGACTAATTTCTTTTCTCCTTTAGCTACAGCATAGTCCCCTTCACTACAATTCCCTTTTAAAAATTTTATTAAACACTTGCCATGTGTAAGGCACTGGGGATATAAAGGTAGATGTGACACAGCTTCTGCTTTCAAAGAGCTAACAATTTAATAGAAGAGACATCTATACAAGAAACTGGGAAACAAGGGTGAACATAAATGCAAAGGAGAGGTCTAAGAAAAGTATTATAAGAAACTTAAGAGAGAGAGAAGACTGTTGGTGGGAATCTGAATGGGGCTATGAGAGAAGGGGAAGGGCTGGGGGAGGGTGGGAAGATGGGGGAGAGGGTGGGGTCTTGAATAGATAGAAGTGTGGATATATGAGAGGGGCAGAATCTGGTCACTAGAGGTCTTTCAAATGTCATCAGTCTAGGTCCTAAACATACTGTTGTGTTCTAAAACTTTATTTGTAATTTGGATGCTTGAAATTTGGAGCACATTTTCCTAAAGAGAAAATACTATAAATAATCTATGCCTACTCACTAAAGCCTATTTAGCCTGTATGCCAGTGAACTTTAGAACTAAAAGCACTAGCATGAGTTTGGTGTTCAGAAGCAAGAGACCAGTATGAGGAAGTAGGGAGTTTCTTATTCCTTTCTTTCTCTTTTTTTTAGGCAATTGGGGTTAAGTGACTTGCCCAGGGTCACACAGCTAGTTAGTGTCAAGTGACTGGTCTGAGACTGGATTTGAACTCAGGTCCTCCTAACTTCAGGGCTGGTGCTCTATCCACTGCACCACCTAGCTGTCCCCATTCCTTTATTAAGCATAAGGAGAACTCCAGAAAACATTTTGAAATAGATGAGATTTTTTTTCCTTTGATACCCTCCTCCCTCCTTTTTTTGCACATCTCTTCTCCTATACCATTGTTCCTATGCTCAAATTTGCAGTCATCTCATGCTATCCAAGTAGCCTACCCAAGCCTGTTCTCCCTTCACCCCAAGCCAAGAGCTCCATTATTCATAATTACTTAATTTCTTTTCCTCTTAATCATAGCATCAGATCTAGGGCTAGAAGAGACCTAATAGATATCGAGTCCTACCCCATCATTTTACAAATGAGGAAATCGAGGCCTAAGGAGGTTAAGTGACTTGCCCAAGGTCACACTGGTAGTGAGCATGAG